ACTTACTTTAACGGACAATTGCACGGTCATGTAATACGGTACATAAATGAAATTTACATACATTTTTTTTTTTTTTTTTTTTTTTTTTTTCCCACAAATTGAGCTTTCTTTTGGTGGTATTTGATCGCCTGTGCGGTTTTTATTTTTTGCACTATTAAAAAAAAAAAAAAAAAAAAAGTTGACAATTTTGAGGAAAAAAAAAAATGCTTTGGACTTTTTGCTATAAAACCTGTCCAGTAAAAATCAAATTTAGTCATAAATTTCTGCCAAAATGCATTCTGCGACATGTCTTTGGTAAAAAAAAAAAAAAAAAACCAATACATGTAAATTAATTGGTTTACGTGAAAGTTATAGTGTTTACAAATGGCGGGAAAGATACTGGGATTTTTAATTTTTTCTTTTATACTAATAATGGCGGCGATCAGCACACTTATGGCGGGACTGCGGCGGACATTCTGACATTGGGGGGTACTGACTTGGGGTCACTGACATCCCCAGTGACACCAATACAGTGATCAGTGCAGAAAAGAAAACACTGACACTGTACTAAAGGCACTGGGGAGGAAGGGGTTAACTTTATTTTGCAGGGAAGGGTTATCTGAGTGAGGGGGAGTGTTTTACTAGGGGGCGGGGGTGTGTGTGACGCTGATCGGGAGAGGGAAACTCTTCTGTCCCGGTCAGCGAGTTCTCGAGCTGTCAGGGAAGTGACAGATAGCACAGCTACTGCAGCTGTGCTCTGTCACTGACTGCCGCCGATCGCCGGGTCATAGCCGGTAAGGACCGGCTGTGACCCGACGACCGACATCTGCGGCTGTGATCGGCGGGACAAGCAGGGCGGCGGCGCGCCTCGTGTGCGCCCTTTACCTGTTTACAAAACACACGTTTTTAAAACGTGGTTTTGCCTGCCTGTGCCGCCGTATTTCTACAGTGGCAGGGCGGCAAATGACTGTTGTGTTTTTGGTGCGCTACCATTGACTACAATGGAAAGTGTGTTCAGAAAATGCACTGAAGATGCAGCTAGCAAGACTTTTTCAGAAAGTGCACACATTGACATGTAAATAACTATTTTACATTCACTTTTGATGTGTCTGCAAGGTGCGTTTCTGTGCAGCAAGACAGATGTGAGTAGACCCGAACTGCCATTTTTGCTTGTCAGATTGGTGTGTTTAACCGCCTATATAAGGAAATGACGGGTGGGCAGCTGCTCTCTTGTTCTGAGAGGACTTCATAGAACGTCCTTCCACTCTTAACTGCGTATGTGTGCCCCCAGGGGGGAAGCGGTGTGGCAATCAGCGGTGTTCTGTGTCCCTGGGACACAGCGGATCACCGATCACACTAAAGAGCCGATTAAGTCAGCTCTGTCATGTGATCAGCTGTGTCCAATCACAGCTGATCGCATGTAAACAAGGATCCGCAGTCCTTGTCACATGTGAGAAGAGCCGTTAGTTGGCATTCCTCAGAGCAGATATCTAAACTGATGATTAGTGTAGCCCAATCAATGTTGCATATCGGTGCCCATCAGAGCTGCCAGTCAGTGCAGCCTGTCAGTGCCCATCGATGCAGCTTCATTAGCGCACAGTGAAGGAGAAAAATGTATTTACAAAATTTTATAACTGACACACAAGCAGGTTTTTGTTTTTTTTTTTTTTTTTTTTTTTTTCAAAATGTCTTGGTTTTAGCAAAAAAAAAAAAACCATAGGCGATTAAATGCCACCAAAAAGCTCTCTAAAAAAAAAAAAAGATAAAAGATAAAAAATTTTTTTTGAGTGCAGTGTTGCATGATCCGTCATTCAAAGTGCAACAGTGTTGAAAGTTGAAAATTGGCCTGGGCAGGAAGGGGGGTAAAAGTGCCCAGTAGGCAAGTGGTTAAAGGAAGCTGAAGTCTGGCAATTACTGGCCAGATCAACAGATGATAAAAGGAAAAGCCTAAAAGAAAACTAATGCAACCACCATATCTAAGAATCGGTGAGCTGCAATGTAATACATTTTGCCTCTTGGCCTTTGTTTCATCTGCAGTTGCCAATATGCTGTACATGTGATCAGATTTGATGGCTTGACGGTTGAATGTTTCAATGCAACAGTTTTTGGAAACCGTTAAATCAATGGGTTTAGTTCCCCTTTATCTTTTTTTTTCTGCCCATCCTATTGCCAAGCTATGTTGCCAAGCAGGAGCTCTCCCATCCTGGGTGAACGTCATGATGCCCTCCCCAGGATCGCGCCTAAGGGGCCGTGGTGCAGCGCAATCTGTCGCCCGCTGTGTCCACCAGATAAATCATTGTACTGGGCTGCTGATGGTACCATGTGACAGCTGTGATCAATCACAGCAGGTCACATGACAGTTGTACACAATATATGGCATTCATTCATAGCCATTTATTGTGTACTATTGATTTATGTGATTGGTCTGATTACATGGTACAGATGGGGCCAGTTAGTGCATATGCACCATGTGATAGCTGTGGCCATCATAGCTTCACAATAGTGCACCCTGGATGAATGGAATGCCATTCATTAAAAATTATTGCTTATAATAGTGATCATCACTGTTATTGGCAATTATAGTACGTGCTTTAAAGTGCTGCTCGCTGTCCTAGAGTAGTACAGGGTCACTATGGTAACGCTGTACTGATCTGGTCACAGTATGTAAAAAAAAAAAAAAAAAAGAGAAATCTAAAATGGTAATTTTTTTTTTTTTTTTAATGCGGTCACCATTGTCCCTGACTACCGCTACAACAGTCATATGGTGTGTGCACCAGAATTAAAATTCTTGAACTGAAAATTCAGTATTTTTTACATAGAATTGTATTAAAAAATTTAATTTAAATGAATATGAATTGTATTTATGCGTACCTTAATTCAGTGTGTCTTCACACTGGTCCGTTGTGGTATTAAAAATCCTGCTCGCCACATTTGGCAAGTTAAAAAAAAAAAAAAAAAAATGCACTTCCCCGTTGAGGCCTCGTTTAAATCAATACTTTTTTTGGGCTTTTTGCAGAAACGCACTACAGTCCATTTTGACATGGTTTCCTATGGGACAGGCATATTTATTTTTGAGCTGTTGCATTTTTGGAAAGGATCGGGGACTTTTTTTAAACACATTGCGTTGTTTGGTTCAAAAGACTTCACTACATGCATTTTCTGCGGCATCTCCATTGAAGTTTTCATGCATTTTTAATCTGCCCAGCAATAAATTGGCCAAACAAAACCACTAAAAAAAAAAAAAAACCCCAAAAAACTCCCAAAAATGTGTCAAACGTTAATGCAAAACCGATAAAACGTAAACTGCATTGGTGTGAACCATTCCTAAAATGCAGAAAAAAACCACACGTTTTTGAGGCAGTTTGCGTTTTTAATTTACCTAGCAACAAGTTGGTAAAATAAAAAAAAAAACTTCAGTAAAGGTGTCAAAACCTTGCATGCAAAACGGACAAAACAAAACTGCACTGGTGTGAACCAGGTCTGAAATGCATCAAAAACGCACGTGTTGCATTTTTGATGCATTTTTATTCTGCCCTGTGACAAGTTGGCAAAATGTAAACTCATCAAAAACTGACAACGCAAACTGCATTGGTTTAAACCAGACCTGAAATGCATTGAAAACCACACTATACTGTGTATATACACGTATTGATTGTCTTATCTGTTCAGAAGCTGTTTTAGTTCATATCCTCTGCCAGAAAGCTCAGCAATGAAGGTGACAAAGGTTTCTGGGTAAGAAAGGAATACAGCGCTAGTTTATTCTGGTTGAGCAGGGAAGAACTGCAACAGGATATATCAACTCCATTTCCCAAGTCATCTTCCAGGGCAGCTTCACATGAAATGGGCACCTCCTACCAGGAAACACGTGATCCTCTTTAATAGCCTGTCCATCCCTGGGGTCCTCAGTATTAGTTCCTTCAGGCCAAGACTGACACTACACCTGTTTTACTCAGGCTGTCTGGCGGGGTACAGAGGCCTCCTGTATGAGGCTACACCTCACCAAGCAAGGCAGGGGCCTTGTGGGTTGGAACCATTCAGGGTTCCCTTGGCACTTTTAGGAGAGGGCAGAATTAAGAAAGAGCACCCCTTTTTGTGCTGCTAATGGTCCTGGACAGGCTCACGAGGGGGAGCCTGCATGCTGACCTAGAGACCAGGGAGCCACAATCCTGTGGGGCTAGCACCATACCTTCCTTGGCTGCTGGACGCTGACATCTTCAGATTGATGCAGCTGGGGGAGGTGATGCCATGTCCGGACGCCAGAGCCAGAGGATACCAATGGGAGCATCACTTCAGGCGCCAGGACATGTGCGGACGCTGAAATTTAAATATACAGCAAATCAACTGCGCTCAAAAACTCAGCAAGGAGAGCAATTTGTCTGAAGTCTTGGCAGGGGGATACTGCTTCCCAATCCAGTCTGTTGCAATGCCTCATGGGACTTAACATTTGGCAACAGCTGGAGGGCCACCAGTTTGACAGTCGTGTTCTAAAGACACCATTGCAAGGTGGCTAAAGGAATCCTATTTCAGGAGGATACAAAACCGTGGCACTAACGCCACCATCTGGCCTGAAAGCACCTTCAGCTAGGGCTACCACAGCTATGTGGGCAGAGAAAGCTTGAGCCTCCCCCAGACAGATCTGCAAGGGTGCAACATGGCCCAGCTTCAGCACATTTGCCAGGCACTACCGGTTAGACCTGATCGCCAACAGGCAACAAGAATTTGGCAGGAAGATCTTGCAAGTAGCAGACCCACCGTAATGTACGTATTCCTATTCAATCCTTTCATGTGAAGGTGTCCTGGAAGGTGACTTGGGGAAAATGCAGTTATTTACTTAACTGTATTTTCAGGAATCTTCCAGGACAGCGTAGTTCCTTCTCGGTGTATAATTATGAGCTGGTGTTCTGTCATACAATGGTCTAAACATATGTTGTTCCTAATGTTATATTTATGCTTTAGCCTAGACCTAGTATTCCTATACTGAGAACCCCAAGGATGGAGAGGCTATTTAAGTAAAGTGGATCATGTTTCCTGGTAGGAGGGGCCTATCACTGTCCTGGAAGATTGCTGGAAATACAGTTGACAGGTAAATAACTGCGTTTTCCTGTGCTGTTGTCCCATCAAAAGTAACACACAATAGATTAGCTGCTTGAGGTGCCTTAGCCTGTCTGGTCTGTGTTCTGCTGTATAAGGGATAACAAAGGCTGATATCAAGAGATTCTGGTATTGGCTGTATGTAAAATCTTGCTATAGACTACTCTTTAGATCAGCCTGGAATCTTTAGAGAGACCTTTAGGGATGCTTATTGTCAAACATTAAAGCATTTTTTTTTTTTAATGAAAAAATACCCTATTTACTCCCTGTGACGGAAGCGTAGGCAGGACAGAACACCCAAAGATGGTAAACACACAAAGCTTTATTGAACTATGGAAGACACTCAAGCGGGGCAGCTCTTGGCACTCCAACATGTGGCTTGTAGGGACACTCACGGTAAGCGGGCTCAACGGGATCTTGGCTATGGGGCCTGACCTCGGCACAACCCCCACACAGCTCTCTAGGGACAACATCAGGCTCACGGGGACTCACCTGGTAGCGATGGCTCAAGCACTCTGGGGCAGTCCAAGTAGCTATACTCTGGGCACGCCTTGGGGCAGTTCAAACAAGGGTAGTCTGAGCGCACAATAGGGGCAGTTCATGACAAGGGTGGCTTGCAGACACTCAGCAGCAGGCGGCTTGTGAGGGCACTCAGCAATGGACAGCTTCCAGGGCTTCCACACTCGGCACCGGACAGCGGCCCTCACAGCGATCAGCTTTCCAGGGACGTCAGCGGACCGAGATCCTCGCAGGGCTCAGCTTTCCAGGGACAAAGCGATCAGCAGCCAGGGGCCCTCACAGCGGTCAGCTTTCCCGGGACAGCAGCAGGCAGGGGCCCTCACAACGGTCAGCTTTCCAGGGACCCTCACAGCCCTGGAGTATTGGCAGAGTGGCAGCGGGTAATGGTTCTGACCTTTTTGGGGGAGGAGGGGCTCTCCTGCAGAGTGCTCAGTGGGGATGGCTGCGGAGGCCCGACCTCCCAGCGGCTTGCGAGTCTAGCAGCGGCAGGCCGCAGGCGCACGCTAGGAAGAGAGACCGGCCTGGTCCCGCGCAGGCCTTTTAAAGCCGGCAGGACGCTTCCGGGTTGCCTCAGCAATGGCCGGCCCAATGACGCGTTGCCGCTCTTATGAGCGCGGCCTTTGTCACTGGTGAGCGTGGAAAGCTGTGCCCGTGCTGCGCCCACCTAGGGTGCGCGGAGACCTCCCTGCCCTCCCCCTGGGGTCCCCTGGGGGGGGGGGTCACAGCTCCTCCGGCTAGATTGCTGGGGGGCTGTGATCCTTGCCACAGTGGTCCCCTCCCCCCATCCTGCACAGCCTGCTTCAAAGGCTATGTGCAGAATTAGAGGATGCAGGGAGGGAGGGGGGAGTGAACAGCGGGCAAAACGTGACACTCCCCAAATACCATTATTTACATAACTGTTGCTTGATTAGCTTGAATGCGTAATGCAATTTTTATACCTGTGGGCCTTTTTTGTTATGATTGAAGCTTGCCTTCAAACCTCCAACAGTTTTCCAAGCTCCGTCCTGTCTTTTCTAGGAGCAGCCATTATGACCCGTGCCATGCTGTGCAGTGCACATTTTCTATCACCATGGACTTGGTGGCTGTGATGGGGAAGGATGCAGCTAGCTCCTTTACTGCTAGGTGGCTGTTGTCCAAACTGCTCTCCTAGAAGTAACCAGGCAAGGCAGGCTTCATTCATTGTTAAAATGGAATGTGCTAATTGAAATAACATAAAATGTTTTTAAAGCTGTTTAGTTAGGACTATGTACAGTAATGGTGTTTAGGGAGTACATATTTTTTTGAGAAAAGGTGAACTAATTCTTTAGCAAAACAGTGTTTTAGTATTTGGGTCAGCTTCTTTCATAAATTCCTTTTTTGCTGCTCTAAAGTAGCACTTTGACAGGATGAAACCTACCCAGACCACTTGCTAGTTGTAAGTTTGTTTGACTTGAAATTCTGTCTCCGCTAAGTTGATTGCGGACCTGTGCCTATTGGCCACCCTTATTTCGAGACACAGTCTCTCAAATACAAATTTTTTGCTAAATGAGAATCTGCTAGTCTTTTCTTGATAAATGTTTCCCTTCTGTCTAGAGCAAAAATTTTAAATATGCTGTAGGTTTAAAGACACATTCACACCTGAGGCTCTGTTCATATCTAGGCCTTTTGTATGGTGGGCAGTGTAGCAAGCGTACACACAGATGGACGCGGTTCAACCATTTTGCTCCAACCTTGTAACCCTTCTCCCCCTCCTTTGATCACCCCCCCCCTCCCTCTCTGATGAGTGACATGTGGTCGGTGTGTGTTGGCAGAGGTCACAGGCAGCCAAAGCACAGCAGCGGGCTGCTAGCTGTAAAACCCCCAAGGGAGCTGGGGCCTAGCTGTCTAAGAAACTGCAATCTGGTATATCGTAAAAGCGTAAACCAAGCCCTTCACTGAGTTCAAAGACATTCCAGAGAAGTAATAAACTAGACACCACATTCAAAATCCATTTTCCCCCTATGATTTCATATCTTGAAATATGAGAGACTTGCATAAAAACCAGGCATATCGTCAGATTGGTTAAGTTAATACAAACCGATTGATATATTGATATATTATATTCCCTAGCTGGAATATATAGGAGGGCAGGAAAGTATATCTCCTGAACCATTCAAGTGTATATAACATGTTTCCGCAGATGCGGCTGAGTATTAATATACTAGTTACCAGGCCGGCAAATGCCCCTAGAATAAGTTATGAATCCTAAAATAAGCTGAGGGATATTTGTTCTAGCTTGGGTCTCCACCTACACCTCCCTCCCCAAAAGGAGACCATTGGTTCTCTGTTGTAAGGAGACACCCTGTGGAGATCCTAGAAAAGGACTGTTATGCTTGGAGTGTGTGTGAGAGGAAAAAGGTCTCCTGTTTAACATCGAAACTGAGTAAGAGACCAGAAATCCTTTTTGAGCTCATAATACTTAAAACTGCTTAAACCAAGGCTAATTGGTAAGTACTTTAACCCTTTAAACTCCTTCTGTTTTCTCTTTGCTGTGCTATTGGGGTGTGTGTGTGTGTGTGTATGTGTATATATGTGTATATATGTGTGTATGTATATATGTGTGTGTATGTATATATATGTGTGGTATATATATATGTGTGTGTGTGTATATATATATATAATGTGTTACATCTTTTTTCTGTAAGTTTTTATTGCACCTTTTTTAGTAATAAATTTCACTTTCTGAAAGTGAACGGTTTCTAAAGCTCTTTAATGCAAACACAAATTCATGCTGCTGAAGAACGCTACTATGTGTGTTTAACCCGCTGTGTAACCTGTCTGCGGTGACAGATAATACAGAGTATACCACTAACCATCATAGTGTATTGCTACTATTGCCGAGTTTCCTTTCTCTGTACAAAAAGGAGGTGGTGGCAGTGTGAAGGGTTAATTGCGTAATTAACCTGACCCAGTAACAATCGCTCAGGCTGCAAGTACACAGGTTGTGGTCCGTTAGCTGGAAAATCGTTGTGCAGGGTGCAGCTCGGCATTGTTACGCACATGACGACATGGTTTTAGATAGGCTAGCCCTTCAGTCGAGTTTGGTGAGAAGGGCAGGGGTCTGACGCCGCAATTGTCACAGGCAGGATTGGCAAATCTGCCTGCGATCCTAAAATATCTGCAAAGCTGAAAAATCGCACCATGCTTGTTCAGGCGCCATTTATTTTCAGTGGCACCTAAACGTGGGTTCAATTCTGCTGTGATAAATAGTGCTGAAAACCGCATCATTCAAAGCTTGTTGCCCAAAAGGAGCAGGAGCTTCTTTTTGAGCTGCAAGCTTTGCACGATGCAGTTTGTCCGATTTGACCCTCGGCAGAATCGCACCATGTTAGGTGCCACTGAAAATGAATGGCACCTGAATAAGTGTGGTGCGATTTGGTCAAGTTTGCAGAGCATTTTTGGATTGTGGGCAGAATTGCAGCGATTCTGCCAATGTTGTAATATTCCTAGATGTGAATGTGAATGGAGCCTGTGTTTTTGTTTGTGTGCTCCAAAATATGCAAAACACAAGTTGACGCAAATTTGGGTGGTTTTGGCCCCACAGACCTCCAACATGTTGAGTGACTTTTCAAGAGTTTTTGTTTTAGCCAATGGAAAGCAATTGTGGAGACACAGGCAAAAAAAAAAAAAAAAACACTTGAAGCTTGAATACACATGTAAAACATTCAAAATGTGCTTCTAAAATGCTCAAATCGACCGAGTGCCTGAAAATAACTCTGCTCAGATTTGAGTGCAGCCTTATGTGAAAGAATCTGTTGCTTGTAAATGAAGGATTTGGCCTGATCTGAAAGATAAAGCTCATTCAAAGCCAGGTATTTGGAACCTGTTGCAAAGTCTTGCCCCTCACATTTCTTTTGGCCCATCAACATGATGGGTTGCCTCTGTCTAGTGGGAATGTGCATCATGTACCTCTAGTAGCCTGTACTTTATACCTGTATGGTTTTAAAGTTACCAATTCACTACATGGTCAAGTCCAGCTTGTAAAAGACTATATACTGTTGTCCTGTGGCCTGTGTAGCTCCCACGTTGCTGATCACCAGCAAGTATTCATGTTTTGTGGGTGAGATACTCCCTCCTTCCATCAGTTTTTGTATGTCCTGTACAGTGTTGTACAAGTCGGCAGGAGGAGCTAGTGTTCACATGTATGGAAGTGGGTAATTAACCACAGTAACGGGTCATCGAACAGGCTGCAGAAAAGTACCTTGTAGCCTCCACCAGCTGGGTTTATTGATCTTTGCAGTTTCAGGGTCATTTTAAAGCTGTTTGTGCAAGCTGTTCATGGAAACTGATTTCACACATACAGCTTGGTTTTACTTTGGTAGCTACATTTAAATCGTTTTTTTTTTTTTTTTTTTTTTTTTTTATTGCGTATTAATAAATTAATACAGGACATAATCAAGGTGAAAACTTTTGTTGAAGTGATTTGCTGGTGGAATCTGAGCACTACAATAGATGCTGTTATTTGTACAACCCTTTTGGCAGCCACTCAAATATAAACTGTTAATGACCTGTGGTCTCTTAAATTAACCTTTTTTTTTTTTTTTTTTTTTTTTTTTCCTTTCTTCCAGCTTCTGGGTGGCTTCTCGCTTTAAGTTTTCAGTCATGGCTGATGGCGGTAAGACCCTTTTTTATTTTTTGAAGTGGGACCTTGGAGAAATTTTAATTAAGTGTCAGATATTAAAAAAAAAAAAAAAAATTGTTTTCAGTAGGGTTTTATAAAGGTACTGATGTGGTTCTACTGACTTGCATTAGAGGGGGTAAGCTAGTATGTAGGAAGTTTCTAAAAGTTTTGCATATATGGTTGATGGGAAAGCACGTGTCGAGAGGCCTCCTTTTTTTTTTTTTTTTTTTTTTTTTTTTTTTTTTTTTTTTTTTTGACAATAAAATGTCACAGGCAAGCTATGAATTGCCTTAAAAGTATCGCACACAAATGGGAAATACAATCTCATATGTAAAGACAGCATTGAGCACTTCTGAGACCTAGTGATGTGAATCCAGTGTGGATGATGGAACAAATTAGTGTAAGCGGTAGCAAACTCGAGTAATCTTTTAGATTTCCAACAGGAAATGTACACTCTAACAAATACGAATATTGAACCTTATAATTCAACCTTTAAATGGTGTCTGAATGTACCACAACCACCATCCAGATTAAATCATTGCGCCTATGTATATAAATGTTGGTATTAAAATAGGTGCTGCTATTAATCCACTAAATTAATAACCACACTTTGTGATAAATAAGTAAATAAAAAACAGAAATAGTGCAACCCACACTTCAAAAATTGATTAAATAAATCAATGAATTGAATAAATATCAATTAAATTAATCCACAACCGTGCATGTGCACAAATCATTAATTATATAAACCCTCATAAAGTCCATATATATTCCATATGATCCTCAATAAATGAAGTTATGGTATCTTCCTTCACCAATGTGACATTCAGTGCTTTAACACCACATCAAAATACACTCACCAGATACTGGTGAAAAACAAGCATATCTGTATATAACCAGCACTCCACCACGGAGTTCCAGCTTATGGATATCCGTAATACTCCACAGTAACCATGTAGGTAAAAAAGACAATCGCCATAGTGCAAATAACGTTTTCAGATTTATTCCAATTCCCCCCTTAAAACTGCACTCACAATGAATAGTAATAAAACAGCATTTGTTACACAAGACTACAGTGCTCTCTATCCAGCGTCTCACCAGCCTGCCTGCAACCAAGATGGCGTTGTTGCGATCACGTGGTCCGGAGCCGAGAGTCGGCGTGCGTGGTGACGTCACCAGATAGCCACACCCTAATGCGTTTCATTAGTTGAATTGTCATATGTGATTTGTACACAAGATGGTGCTGTTGTGATGATATGGTGCAGCTTGCTAATTGTAGTTGAAAGCATTGATTCAGGTGTCTCTGCAATTAGTAAGGCTGTTTAGACCATTCACTTACACCCCAGGTGTCTCTCTAATTTGACCAATGGAAAGAGGCAGCTCTTTAAGAGCACGCTCCTCACATTTCTGGCCACTCCCTCGGAAGAAGTCGTATGACGAAACGCTTTAGGGTGTGGCTATCCGGTGACGTCACCACACGCTGACTCTCGGCTCCGGACCACGTGATCACAACAACGCCATCTTGGTTGCAGACAGGCTGGTGAGACGCTGGATAGAGAGCTCTGTACTCTTGCGTAACAAACGCTGTTTTATTACTATTCATTGTGAGTGCAGTTTTAAGGGGGGAATAAATTGGAATAAATCTGAAAACGTTATTTGCACTATGGCGATTGTCTTTTTTACCTACATGTTTACTGTGGAGTATTACGGATATCCATAAGCTGGAACTCAGTGGTGGAGTGCTGGTTATATACAGATATGCTGGTTTTTCACCAGTATCTCGTGAATGTGTATTTTGATGGGTTGTTAAAGCACTGAATGTCACATTGGTGAAGAAAGATACCATAACTTCATTTGAGGATCATATTGGAATATATATGGACTTTGAGGGTTTATATAATTTAATTAATTATATATTTGTGCACATGCACGGTGGTGGATTAATTTAATGATATTTATTCAATTCATTGATTTATTTAATTTAATAAATTTTTGAGGTGTGGGTTGCGCTATTTGTGTGTTTTTATTTATTTACTTATTTATCACAAAGTGTGGTTATTAAATACGGATATTGGCTTGAACCCCCCTTGGCACCGGCGCCTCTTAAAGGGTTTGTGATGCCTGGGGGGGGATGGGGTTTAGGGTCATGATCAGAAAGCTCCTGATCGCAAGTAGTGATTAGGACCTTTCTGTGAAGCGCTTTTGGCATAGGTTTGTTTACATTGGGTACACAAATTTGTGGCCTCGGCGTCAAGGCCGAGCTGCCAAGAAGCCGCATATTTGCGTACTGTCGGCGTCAAGGATTTACCAGCTTCCCGACCGCCCTATAGCAGATGTACTGCTACAGGGTGGCACAGGTGTGGAAAATCGTGTGTATACGTAATTTTGCATTTCCAGGTAGGGGCGGGCACACACCTTACCTGCACCGCCATTCATGGCTGTCAATCACCGGGTCCTGGTCAGTGATTATTCGCTGGCACCCGCCCGTGATGAGCATCTTCGGGGGAGGATAACTGCATGTAAACAATACAGTTCTTGTCAGCTCATGCAGCACAGCCATGCAAAGCAGCGTGATTACAGTGAAGCACAGACGCAAGTAAAACAGCACCCAGTTAACCCTTTCCTGCCCACTTGGTACAGTGTCCTGCTTTTTGTCTTTTAGCACTGATCACCGTATTGGTGTCACTGGGGATGTTGGTGACAGTCGGTTACCACAGTGTCCAAATGCCCGCCACACTCCCACTAGATGTTGCTGATTGTCGCCATTACTAGTAAAAATTAAAAAAAAAACTTCCAGTATCTATTCCACCATTTCTAAACGCTGAAACTTTCACGTAAACCATTTAATTTACACGGATTGATTTTTTTTTTTTTTTTTGCACAAAAAATAAAAAAACACAGGAGATCAAATACCACAGAAAGAAAAGCTTAATTTGTGGGGAAAAGATGTAAATTTCATTTTGGTTCAGGTTTACATTATTGCGCAATTGTTAAAGTAATGCAGCACCATAACACAAAAATTGGCGTGGTCAGGAAGTGGGGTAAATCCTCAGGAGGGCAAGTAGGTAAAGCCTAGGTGCAGCCAACAATAAAACATCCTCACAAGGGACATTGTGCAGATTTTTCTATTTTTCACTGCACTTTGACTTCATATAGATTGACCATTTATAGTCCGCTGTCCAGCAGATTTGCAACATGAAAAGCTTAGGGAAGCTGAGCAGCACTGAAAACCAAATACAAGTGTGCACTGACCTGGTGTACATACATCCTGAAGCTTCATTCATTCGTAAAAGAACAGCTGTTCACAGCTAGTCTGTAGATTAACAGTAATGTGAATTTCAAATTGATGTGCCATCCTGGAGGAGTTGGACTGCCTGTGCAGCCTCTGTAGGGTCCAGGTATCTCCTCATGCTACCAGTAGTGACACTGATACTAGCCAAATGCAAAGCTAGTGGAAAAACTCAGAAAAGAGGAGTGCAGGGGAAAAAATGTCAGTGGCCTTCCTGTAAAACAATTCCTGTTTTAAGGGTCATCTCATTATTGCCCATGTAGTGCACCTGCTAATTTCATAAATGTGTAAGGCCTAACATGCCCTGTTTCCAGAAGCTACGCAATTGGTTAATAGGCAAAATTCCCAAACAGGTTTGTGTTTTAATACATGCTAGTACCTAATAGCATGGTCTCCAAAGGTTTAAATGTATTTATTAATATAATTTATTTTCTTTAAAACCATAGCACCCCTTCTCTAATGTAGCCGTGATCTGTATCTTTACAGATGCACGACATGGGTTTACAGATATACCTCTCAGCTTTTGCCTATTAACCTTGTTAGGATCCCTAATAATAACTTAATACATTTAAATACCTGACCTCTGAAAGGTTTTACCCCTTTCATGACCAGAACATGTTTTGCTATTCTGCACTTTAAATGGTAATTACACGGTCATGCAACACTATGTAAATGAAGTTTGTCAACTTTTTTTTTTTTTTTTTTACATAAATGGCTGCCTTTTGGCGGTATTTAACCACGTTAGTGTTTTTTTGTTTTTTTTTCCGGTTTGCTTTTTTTAATCCAATAAACATAAATAAGTACAAACATTAAACAAGTCAGTGAAATGTGTTCCAAAGCACTGATGTGACACAAAGAAAACCAATGCCTGTAAATAAATCAACAGCCTATCCATAACCAAATCAGTAGGCTCAAGGCCTGGAGCAGCTAACCAGGCTCTCCATAGTTTAGTTTACTACATTTTCCTGGGCAGCCTCTGTGCTGAAAAATTTTCTCTAATCTGAGAGTATTGCCCACATACGTAGACCCATTCTCAGTGGGGGCTCAATCAGACTTCCAATGTTGGAGAATAGACCTACGAGCCTGAAACAGGTCCTTATTAACTGCGGCCTTTTGGAATTCTGTTAACGGGAGATAGCCTAGTATACCCAAAATGCAGCGGGTAGCTTCAATAGAAACAGTAATGTGGGAAAACTGCGTTTATGGTGGAAACAATATCTGTCCAGTACTGATGTTTAGGACATCACCATAGACGATGAATAAGGTCCCCCTGAGCAATAGCACATCTAGTACAGAGAGGAAACCCATGCGATGGAATCATGAGGTGTGAAATGGGCACAGAGTAGTACGTATAGCTGCGAGAGCCTTTGACTGGTATTGAGGGAGCTAAGCAAGACAGATTCCAATGCATTATCCCACAACTCCTCATCCAAAGGGCCTATATCCTGCTCCCATTGTTCCTTAGCTTTACAGGGGTGACCACCTAGGTATGGGAAAAGTAGCATGTCATAGCATCTGGATATGAAGCAGTTTGTATCCTTTACCGATTGAGCATAGCGAAAGATGGGTGTGGGGGATAGAGACCAGTTTGTCAGAGAGCCCTGGACTCGAACAGCATGACTGAGCAGAAGATGGGAAAACTGCAGTGTGAAAGGGAGGCGGAATGCCGCACATAGATCAGTAAAGGAGAGATCCATTTCTGAAG